CCCTGGGAGCTCACGGATGACGCCTTGGAGCCAGGATCGCGCCGAGGAGGGAGCGCGGCCGTCCACGCGACGGAATTCCGTCCGACCGGCGCACCACGGATCGCCGCAGCCCAGGAGCAGGCTGCCACCGACCCGCTGCCACAAAGGGGTGAGCGCATCGGACGTCCCACTGGGGAGAATCCTATCCCAGGTTGGCGAGGCCGCTGCTTTCGGTGCCACGAAATCGGGCACTATAGGCGCGACTGCACAAGGGAGATTCCGGGAAACGGAGGAGGCCGCCGATAAAGTTATCGGCGGCGAAACCGACCAACGAGCGGGTCCCCGACACCCCTTCGACCGTGTGCGTGCCGACGGCGTATCGAGTCGGACCAGCGACAAGCACCGCGGCCCCATTTATTTCCCTGACGGTGGCGGGAAAGGAGTTCGCAGCTCTTCTGGATAGCGGGGCTAGTGCGTCGCTAATTGGGGACGAGGTCCTCAGGCATCTCCAACAGAAGTCCGTTCGGGTGAGGCATGGGGAGACCACTTTCCAGTTGGCTTGTGGGTCGACGACTTCGAGGGGAGCAGTGCGTCTCGTGGTACGTTGGAATCAACGCGCGCAGAGACAGCGGTTCGTCCATTTGGCCGGGCTGACAGTGCCCATCATTCTGGGACGGGATTTCCTGGCCCACACTGGCATCATCATTGACGTGGCAAGTGGCGGGTACCGAGAGGGGGCACATGCACCCCTTTCAAGTTTCCGAGAGCGCTCCATGGGGGCCATGGCGGCAGCGCTGGGAAAAGCGACAGAACAGGAAAGAACCGACCGCGACGACGCCATGCCCATGAGTCACCCAACTCCGAGCTCCGCCGAGCACTGCGACGAAATGGGCCACCCGTTGGCCAATGCCGATGGACTGTCCCGACCAGAGCGAGAGAGGTTGGCGGCTTTGCTGCACAACTTTGACGAAATGTTCACCGAACAGCCGGGCTGCACTAAGCAGGTGCAACATCGCATTGAAACTGGGGACGCACGCCCTTGGAAGTCCAATCCGCGTCCTGTAAGCCTGGCGAAGCGAAACGCGATAGATGCCGCAGTCGATGAGCTCCTGAAGTCGGGAATCATTCGCCGGTCATCAGGACCCTGGGGATTCCCGGTGGTTTTGGTGCCCAAGAAGAACGGAACATCGAGACTCTGCGTCGATTATCGGCGCTTGAACGCGGTGACCGTAAAAGATGCGTATCCATTTCCGAGCATCGAAGAAATCATCTCGAACCTGGGGAAGGCGAAGTATTTCACTACCCTCGACGCAAGCAAAGGCTACCTCCAAGTGGAGATGAGCCCGGGCGACGAAAGCAAAACTGCATTCGTGTGTCACCGAGGCTTGTTCGAGTTCACTCGGATGCCGTTCGGATTAACAGGTGCACCGATGACATTTCAGCGGTTGATCGACGGGGTGCTCGGAGATGCCAAGTGGCAGCACGCGCTCGCGTACCTGGACGACATCATTGTGTACTCGGAAACTTTCGAGGGCCATCTTCGTCACCTTGAGGACGTGTTGCGCAAACTACGGATCGCCGGCCTCACACTAAACCCGACTAAAGCCCAAATTGGAGCTTCTGAGATCAGCTTGTTGGGTTTCCGGATCGAGAGAGGAAAAGTTTCCCCCGACGCGGACAAGTTGCGGGCGATCTTGGAGTTCCCAGTCCCTACCGATGTCGGGGGAGTGCGCCGTTTTCTCGGCATGATAGGATACTACCGAGCCTACATCCCGAACTGCGCAGCCATGCAGGCACCCCTCACGCAATTGCTGAGGAAAGCGGCTCCCTGGAGCTGGGAGGCGCCGCAGGAGGAGGCGTTCCTCCAGCTGACCGAGGCCTTGGCGCGTACAGCATCCCTCAAACTGCCAGACCTGAATAGGCCCTTCACGATCCAGACGGACGCCAGCGACCAAGGACTCGGCGCGGTGCTCTTGCAGGAGACAGGGGGAGAGATTCGCCCGGTGGCATTTGCCAGCCGGGCGCTGAACCCGGCAGAGAAGAACTACACGGTGAGTGAGCGCGAATGCCTCGCCATCATTTTTGCTCTTAAGAAGTTCGATCATTATGTCGAGGGGACGGAATTCACGATCGAGACGGACCATATGGCCCTCGCGTGGCTCTCCCGAATCAAGGAACCCGCCGGAAGACTGGCGCGCTGGGCCTTGACACTGCAGAAGTACGAGTACCGAATTCGGTACCGGAAGGGCACGACAAATGTGGTGGCCGACGCGCTCTCCCGCGCACCCGTGGATCCCCCACCGCGCGAGGCAGCAGGCTTCGGAGGCGGGGCCATCCCCCAGGAGACGGGAAATCCCGCCTCGCGCTCCGCTCCCCACTGTGGCGGCGTCGCGCAGCTGGCTGAGGCGATTACCTCACTGGGACCGGCGTTCAACCGAACGGAACTGTACGAAGCACAGCAGAGCGATTCGTTTTGTCGCGCTATCTTCGACCGGCTCAGGCAAGAGATGGATCCTGACCAGACGGGCGAAAAGACGCTCCGGCACTCCGGAACACCGAGAGGGCCAAGTGCCATCGCCCAGGAGTCAGACATCGAAGCAGGTGAGCTGGAATCTTACCTGATCGATGGGGACGGCGTCCTGCTGCGCTACTTCCCGGAAGAGAGCGATTCAAGTGAGTCGTTCAAGACCGTGATTCCCCGCGATCTCAGAGTTGCAGCGCTGCGTCACTACCACGATGCGGACGGTCACGGCAGTGCACCGAAGTCGTGGCATAAGCTGCGCCGTTTCGCTACCTGGCCGGGCATGAAGGGGCAGCTGTGCCGTTATGTCCGTAGCTGCGCAGTGTGCCAAGAGCGCAAGCCCAGGGGCGGCAGACCACCAGGCCTGCTCGAGCCCATCGTGAGTACGCGGCCATGGGAGATCGCGGCCTGCGACTTGATGGGACCCCTGCCGCGGTCAAGCGGAGGCTATCAACATGTGTTGGTAGTCACTTGCCACTTCACCGGATTCGTCGAGATGTTTCCAATGCGGAAGGTGACAGCCAAGGGAGTCCTGAGCAGGCTGTCCGAGGTCTGGTGTCGCTACGGGTTCCCCGAGAGACTGGTGAGTGACAACGCCTCGATATTTTGCTCGAAAGTCTTCGCGGCAACCTGCCAGGCCCTCGGGATTAAGCATTGTAAGACTTCGTGTTACCATCCCCAAGCAAATGTGACCGAGCGGCGGAACCGCGACATCAAGCCGCTGCTCGGGGCGTATGCTCGAAAGCAGCGGGACTGGGATCTGCATTTGGATTCGATTTCGTTTGCATTGCGGTCCAACCTCAACCGCAGCACTGGGTTCACGCCTGCGCTTTTGAACTTCGGCAGAGAACTCTCTACGCCGACCGATGCGGTTCTTCGCCCGCGACAGAGCGCGGCCAGATCGGTGCCCTCGCACGAGGACTTCGCGACGCGCACAAGAGAGCGACTGTCGCGGGCGCTGGACCCCGCCCGCGGAAACAGGGCTCGCGCGCGGGCGGAGCAGAAGAACACCTATGACAAAGCGCACCGCGATGCGCAGTTCGAGGTGGGCGACACCGTTCTGCGGCGAAGTCACGTGCAGAGCGATGCGAGTAAGTTCTTCTCGGCGGCGTTGGCCCCCAAGTGGGTTGGCCCCTTTGTCATCGATTCCAAGAAGTCTCGACTGACATACACGCTGAGGGACCAGAATTCTGATCTCGTCCGCGGGACAGTTCACATCGGCGAACTGAAACCCTTTTTCCCCAGGGAAGGGGATGAGCCGGTCAAGCGGCCGCAAAGGGGCATTCGCGGGCGCCAACGATCTAGGATTTCCTGGGACCACCGCGGCACAGCTACAACACGCGTAGCCGGAGGTAACCCGATGGGATCGGAACCTCGTAGAGTGCGTGGCCCGGGAAAGGGAAGAAGAGGGGGGACGATCCGAAATCGGCGTTCCGTAACCCGGGAAAGGGAAGAAGAGGGGGGTAGCGATCCGAAATCGGCGTTCCCGGCATATTTTTTTTTTATTGTTTTTTGCTTTTCTTTTTGGGTGGGGGGAGGGTGCCTCGGAACCCTTAGTGCTTGTTTTTCTTGTTTTTGCTTTGAATGTTTTTTTTTGTTGTTTTTTGTGTGCGGCGTTGCTGTTGGTGTTGGGGTACTGCTCCCTCGCTGGGCGCACGCCTTGGACTTTTCCCATCTTGTGCGTCATCGCCCCTGCGGCTGCTGCTTCGAGACGCAACTTGGTGTGCACCGAATGGTCCTCTCTGGGAGGGATGAAAGGAGGAGTCGCCGTTTGGACAAACACCAGCTTGGGCTGAGCTCCTCGTCTTCTGGCAGCGTATTCCCCGGCAGGAACCACAGCTCGGGGAGCCTTGTGGGACGTCCGCGACGCCACGCAGGACGCCGGGGTGCAGTTCTCAGTGACACTGGACTTCCAGCCCCGCATCGTTCCGGGAGGGCGGTCGCAGCTGGGTCGCAACCACAGTCCCTCTCCGGTGCACCACTCTGTGGAGGGGCCAGTCTCATGGTGGCCAGGCACACTGCTCAAGGACCCCGTTGCCCCGGAGGCCGCCGCCAAGCCGAAGTCGACAAAGTCTACTGTGAGGTGTGCGGTGGCCGCGCACCCCAGGTCTCGGGCGAACTGATGGACCTCAGTGAGGACGACCCATGGGACCAGCGGTGTGTGTGTGCGTGTGGGGGGTCTCCAGGCCAAACCAAGCGACGGTGTTCCCAGCAGCCTAGCCGTACGTCTGAATTCCGGCGTACTTCGATTTTTAGGAGAGGGGAGTATGGCGCACCGTGAATTCACGAGGGCGCCCATCAAACCATTCGGCCAATCTTGGCCGCTACACGATCACATGGTCGTGTTGCCGCGGGGTCGATCGGGATCTCGAATTCGGCTCCCGACGCGCCGCTTTCTCTCCTAGCCACTGGAGGGCGCTGCAGGCGCCCCCGTGGCAGGCGAGGAGAAACCTCCTCGCCCATCGAGATATATACTCGGTGGGGCAGGGGGCGAGAGGCCTCTAAGAACTCCGGACGAGACCAAGACGCAGGCAGGCAAGTGGGTGGCGACCGGATCTAGGATATCGCGGGACGCGAGGCCTAAGGCCTCCTTTGTGTTTAGCTTTAGCCTGAACGTGCATTTGTAAATAATTGTGTAATGTAGCTTGTATTTGTAGTTTAGATTGAGTGTTTTGTAGTGTTGTATTTTATTGTACGAATAAACGGGGAGCGGAATCCCGCTCCCGTGAAAGAACCAGGCTGGACTCGGGTTGTTGACGGACCACGTGGGAAATGGCGAATCGGCGGCGGTACGCGATTTCCTACAAGCTCAAGCGAGGAAGAAACCTGCATTTGACATGCCTGTGTAAACAATTTCTTTTTATTATTATTAAAGCGGCCGGTTTTACTTTTGTTCTCAATTGCGTATCACTAGAGCTTGGGCTGGCTTGCTAGGGTTTGCCAAGTTGTGGGGGGGGGGGGGGGGGGGGGGGGTAGTAACCTAAGTGGTAAATTTTGATGAACGCCAATACCCTTTCCAAGTAAAATGTGAAAAACCGCCGATATCGTGTTCGCGCTAAGTGTGCCGCGCACTGTAGATTTGGCGATATTTTATAGTTTAATGACGCTAAAATATATCAGCCTGCCGCATACGGGGGTATTACAATCTCCTTTGTAAATAAATTAATAGTTTTTAACACCGTTTCAGCTGTGCCGTGCTACATAGTAGGACCACTGGTCAGTGAGTAGTATAAGGCAAATATTTAATTTCGTGTTCAGTTCTCACAAAAAAAACAAATAATGAACGGTACAGATGCTGAGTGGAAACGCTTGAAAACGACGATCGCGTGATTAAGCGATGCAAAGAGAGACAGCAGAAAGAAAGCGTCAGACAGACACTCTCGCTTCCAGGTCACGGTCTTTAGCACACACGCACGCGACACGATGCCAAGCCAGCCAAGCGCGCTTCCAGGAACCCAACAAACAGCAAATAAATAGAGCGCGGCGGGAACAACACAAGAAAAAGAAAACCAGCTTCCGCGCTATCGGTATGCGTCATCCGCGCTCGCAGCTTGCTGCAACGACCGGTACGCCAGAGAAGAAAGGGGGAGGTGAAACACTTGCGCCTTGCGCAGTGTGTGCCGCGACGTAGTTGCCGTTAGACAACATGGCCGCCGCCACATGGATGCCGCTTGTATACCGCCAGCTCTGCCCGTCGTCTTTTCACGGGGCCAAAGTATCCGTCCGTCGCCTGGGCTCACTTTACGGTGGCCGGTACTTCGTGACCCTCCTGCCCGGACATGGTATCGGCCCCGAGATGATGTCCCACGTGGAGAAAGTCTTCGAGCGCGCCAAGGTACCGGTAGACTTCGAGAGGGTTGAGGTCGACGACACCCCCGAGTCTCTACACAACGCCCTGACGTCCATCCGCCGCAACGGCGTCGCCCTCAAGGGGAACGTCGAGACGGAGAACCCGCTCCAAGTGGAGCCACGTAACCTGGTCCTGAGGAGCGCCCTGCAGCTAGACGTGAACGTGGTCCACTGCCGGAGTCATCCGGGGGTCACCACCCGCCACAAGGACATCGACATCGTGGTCATCCGCCAGAACACGGAGGGCGAGTACAGCTGCCTGGAGCACGAGAGCGTACCAGGGGTGGTGGAGGGACTCAAGATCATCACGAGAAAGAAATCTGCGGAGACGGCCAGGTACGCTTTCTCGTACGCGCGCTCCCACAAGCGGAAGCGGGTGACCGTCATCCACAAGGCGAACATCATGAAGCTGGCAGACGGACTGTTCCTCGAGACCTGTCGGGAGGTGTCCAAGGAGTTCCCGGACGTGGAGTTTAGCGACATGATCATCGACAACTGTTGCATGCAGCTGGTCTCGAGACCGTCCCAATTCGACGTCATGCTTGTTCCCAATCTTTACGGCAACATTCTGGTGAACATCGCGTGCGGACTCGTGGGTGGTCCCGGCATCACGTCTGGTCGCAACTATGGTCGTGACTACGCGGTGTTTGAGACTGCCACGCGTAACACGGGCAGCCAGTTGGTCGGGAGGAACATTGCCAATCCGACAGCGACGTTTCTGGCGGCTGTGGACATGCTCAAGCATCTGGGTCTCAGGCACCACGCTTATCTTATCAAGGACGCTGTGGAGAAGACCTTGAACGAAGATAAGATTCATACGCGGGACCTCGGAGGCACCGCGTCCACGAGTGACGTCGTGGAGAATGTGTTACGGGAAGTGGAGAAGCACACGCAGGTGCCGCTGGATAATCGACCTCATCTTGACTCGCCGGTGCGGTGTCAAGTCTGAGATTGCAAGGCTCAAGGTGTGTTCCGTTACGTAGAAAAATAAGAATAAAGAGATATGTTGATAAATGATTGCTTTGAAAACTTGTTTGACGTTTTAGGATCGGCTCTCTGAGATTCCAAAATGAGTGTGTTTCAAAAAAAAAAAAAAAAATATATATATATATATATATATATATATATATATATACATAGTAAAAATTTAGCAGTTAGTTACTGTTAAATTTTACACGTTAGCTACGTGCAATTGTTGCACGTAGCTACCAGTTAAAATTTCTCTAAATTAGGTATTTTTTATCGTCGAAAGACAGTGTACAAAAAAGTCAGAGCCCCTACCACAATCGTAACGGTTACGTTTTCAACAATAAAATCAAGATTAATTGTAAATACTTTGCTTCAAAGCGAAGTGACTGATTTGTCACATTCACCTCGGTGTTTTTAGCGTTTAACCGAATGTTTATTTTCTAGTACACATAAATCGGCTTCTAAATTGCGCTCTTTGCATTATTTCCGAATGGCATAAAAATAGGCAGTGGACTCAAGTTTGTAAAATGCTAGTGTGTGCAATATTGCACTTTATCATTCCGAGGAAAAGAAAGGCTTTGCTCACTCCTGCTTTTTGACAGAACAATGAAAAAAAAAAAAAGAATGTTAACTTGCCAGACCTCCCTCCCCTTCAGCGGCATAGCCAGGAATTTTTTTCGGGGGGGGGGGGGGATGGGGGGGGGAGGGGGGGGGGTGCTGAGGTGGCTGGGATGTCCATTACTTGGGGTGCGGAGAGGGGAAAGGGGGTTCAAAATACTGGTTTTAGGGGGGGGGGGGGGGTGACAGGTCAAGAACGAAGTGGAAGCTCCTCCCACTCCTTTCCACTTTAGCGGAGCGAACGGCCTCCTCTCCAGCGTTCGCTCTACTAAAGTGGAAGGAGGTGGGAGGAGCTTCCACTTCGTTCTTGACCTGTCACCGACTATGGAATAATCAAAGCCTCCGCATCGCGTCCTCTCCCTTTATGAAACGTTATAACAGTCGGATCGCGCTAACTCGGCTATTTAGCCAGTCCGACCTTCGACGCGCTGATTGAACACGAGCCCCGCACGAACACAGTCGCAGCACTCGTGCCCAACCGCAATCTCAAGCCTCGATCGACCTGGATGTGATGACGGGGCGATCACGGTGCGGGGGCCTTCTGCTTATCTAGGTGGTGTTGGCTAAAACCCCAAAAGCTCCCCCCCCTTCCCCTTCCCGTGAGTGGTGTTGTTAGTCAGTGAGCCGCATTCACTCACAGAGCTTTCTTTTATTTATTCTTTTTTTCGTAGAAAGTGCTCTCTTTGAAACAAGTTCTTCGTTTTCTCGTCAGCATACAAGCGGAAACTGAGCAAGGTCAGCACGGAATTTAAATCTTGAAAGAAATGTATCTGAAAGCTATTAAAAATTTAATATTGAGGCTTCAGCATACATTTTATATCCGTGAAAGGTAACCTTTGGTTCTGGAGCGATTATTTATCGATATTTTGAACAGAGTGAATGACGACTCGCCTATCCTTTTCAAAATTCGCGCTAGTCCCGACATTGTAGTCACGTGATTTTGACAAGCCAACCCCGTGCGAAACATCAATCCCAGCCGTTTCACGAGTTTTCCCTGCTCTGCCACTGTTCGTAATGACTCCTCACACGTGCAAGGGTGCAAGGTCTGTCGTGGTTTTTTATCGCTACGCGGTTACTTTTCGTTTGATATGTGGCTACGTTTTGTAGTCTCCCGTTCACGAATTTTTCAGCAAGATTTTCCGCTTGTTTTTCGCGCGAAATCAGCCTGCGTTAGGTATGGAATGCATACTCGTAGGTCGTCTGTTTGTGAGTTTAATTTCGGCCTGATTTTGGTGCAGAAAACTCTCAAAAGACAGCGAAGGACCGCCGACGATGCCTGTGAAGCTTGCCGCCAACCTCTCGACGATGTTCAAAGACGGTTCTTTAGCGGACCGCTATTCGACGGCCCTTCAAATGGGGTTCAAGGCGGTGGAATGTCAGTTTCCCTATGACACTCCCCTCGAAGAAATTCGGAGTCGGAAAAAGAGTTCTGGGCTCGAGCAAGTGCTTATCAACTCTTATCCAGGTGAGTGAGGTGTTTGGTGCTTTGTTTGTTTGAAGGTTAATTTCTGCGTGTGTTCAATTAACGCAGGTGACTTGTCGAAAGGGGAACTTGGATTTGCCGCAAAGCCGGGCTGCGAGGGCGAATTTCTGCGTAGCCTGGAAACGACTCTCAACTACGCTAAGGCACTCAATTGCAACAAGTGAGTGTAGATAACAGACTTTGCGGGGAGAAATAAATTTAGGCCAGGTTTATACGTGCACGCACAAGCTGGTTCTTAGTCCGTGTCTGCATGATTGGCGTAAGAAACGCCTCCATATTTTTGTGTGTTCGAGAAATCTATCTTCCTTCGAGGGTTCATGTGATGGCTGGAGTTACGGGCGGTCATTGCGACAAGTCTATGGAGGAGACCTACGTCAAGAACCTGCGAAAAGCGGCCGATATGTTTGAGAAGGTGAGTTGCCCCACATTTCTTTTTAAAAGTGCGATTTATAGAATTACTTGGCTCGTTTTATATTCCACAGCATTCAAGAACGTTTCACTTGCTGTGAAGCACCATGTCTTCTTCTAACGCAATTGATACTGCGACATTGCAGGAAGATATTGTGGGTGTCATCGAGCCGCTGTGCAAACAAGTCAAGCCAGGTTATTTCCTCGACAACTACGAGAAAGGTAAGAGAGTGAGGTACGAGCACCGATTTTAATGCACTCTGTTAAGGTCGCTTCGCACACATATCGCAGCACTCAATCAACACGAGGAACAGCGCGGATGAAGCACTAACGTTGCTTAGCACTGACGCAATATTTTGCCAGCACTGCATCACTCATATAGTGCAAAGCACTGCATCACTTGGCCAGTGCTATTTCCAGTGCTGACTAATAGCACTGAGGTAGCTCTCTCATGTGTGTGTGTGTGAACAGGCCTTTAGGGTGAACTAAAGTCACTGGATCCTGGGAAAGTAGCACCAAGCGATGCGGCGCAATGGCGGTATGGCCGCCATTTCTGTCCATAGAATGTGCAGTTTCCCCATTATCCATTGTATTCTCGGTGAGCCGATCAGAATTCGCTGTGACAGGTTGCTTTATAAAGACTTCTCTTGCATATGGAGCTTTTGTTTGTCACACACTGGTGAAACAAACACATATTTTCGCACCGCTACCATATGGGGCTTCGGTGCTTGGTGGTATAGAAAAATGGTCTTCCCGTCTTGAGATACGCAAGAAGAATATCATTGATCTCTGGAGATAGTACATGATTTATAAGTTGAGTTGCTTGCATAAACAATGCCAGACGCTTATATTGGCGAGGAACGCTTTCGGTGCAGTGACCATTTGAGCAGCAACATTTGAGCACCATTTCGGTGCAGCACCATTTCGGTGCAGCACCATTTGAGCCAAACTGTGCCAAAAAGCTCGCCCTGCTGCATCCTGCTACATTTCGTCAAAGTGAGGAATTTGCGACAACATTGCGCCACATCTTAAGCCAAATCTTACTCTCACTTTATTAATACTGAAATTGTGACACAGGCAATTGCTACATGATTTTATCGTTACGGTAGGCTGTGAAAATTTTCAGAACTTTTGGTGATCATACAAGGTGTCCCTGTAAAAAATTTACAGGTTTTGTTTTACCGCAAAAGTAAACTATGCATCGCCAAATGCTCATTCTCCTCCCAAAGGTGCCGCTAGAGGTCTGAACCTGATGCCGAAGTTTCACCCCCGAACCAATATTTTATTCAAAACTTATAAGTGATTTTCTGAAAATTTCAATGTAAAAAATGGAGCCCATTTTCACCCATTTTCGGTTTCTGGTGCTATAGAGCTCCATGTATTCAATAGCTGTGTTGGCCGCCATTTTCCCATTGAAATTTTCAGAAAATCACTTGTAACTTTTGAATAAAGTATCAGTTTGGGCTGAAATTTTGGCATCTCTTTCGGACCTCTAGCACTACCTTTCGGCAGAGAACGAGCGTTCGGCGATGCACGGTCTATTTTTTGTGGTGAAAAAAACCCTGTAAAGTTTTTGTTTTGGGACACCCTGTACTTATCAGTTTTATTGTTGTGTCAAACGCTGGCAGTATACTCAAAAGTTTCGTGGTCTGGTTTGGTGGGTTAGTTTCGTTGACTGCGCTTTTCATTGCGTACTGATGTACTGCAGTAAAGCAAGAACCACAAAGCATTGTGATTTTGCTTTGCTGCAGTCCACCCTAGTGCTAAGGAGAAAATATCCCTCTAGGCTGGAACGTTAGACATGCAAGTGTCTAGTATATATATATATATATTTTTTTTTTTTTTTTTATATAAAAATCTGGTTAGTGTTGTTGTGACAATCTTGTAGTAAAATTTTCTGAATAAAACTGCAGCTACCGTATAGGATAGACTGTGATGCTCTGACAATATTTTTTTCAGGTTCGAGATTTAGCCAGGATACTTGGGTATTACAAGAAGATTAAATGGATTGTTCTATAGGTTTATTTTTTATGTCAATATCTTATTTAGATATGACCTTTATAATATAGGTATCATCTGTACAATGACACGGTCAGTAGAGTGGCTTATAACTAGATTAGCTGCGGCAGTTGATAAAAGCTTGGGCATTCACGTGCCCATTTTTATCATGAAGTTCTACATATAAAATGTCATTTGTCTTTTATCTGCAGTTTTATTTATTTAATCATTTTGACCCACCTGTCGACGTATTTAGCAACGACCTGATGACTTTCGAGAGTAGTATTTCTTTTTTTTTTTTTTTTAGTGTGTTGTTAGAAGGCTGTGTTCTGAAATTTGCTTTGTCAAACGACTTTATGCACCACTGTTCTAGGCCTCTAGCTGTTGGTGGGCAATGGGCATTGTAAAATTAAATTACCCTTTAAAGCTTGAATGAAACGCAAATTTGGGTGTTCCTGGTTATTGTACTCTAGAATTATTTCAGTGAAATCTACTGTTTTGGTTTACCTATCATTCCGATTTCCATACCTAAAATAATCATTCACAGCAGTTCAACCTGTTCTTCATCAATCAGCACCTCCTTGCCGCGCATGGTGTTTCTACATGCAGCTAGTGAACAGCTTGTTCTGTGTTTAAGAGAATCAAAGCAGCCGTGCAATTGATGCTAACGGTCGCATACAAGTGGGACGGCGAAATAGTCTTCTAGTTGGATAGGAAAACGCAAGAATCTTATAATAGTAATCACAGTGAAATGAATAAAAACAGAGCGTGTGCTTATGGTCAAAAAGGAATTTTCGTTGCTCGAAAGTGGACTTTTGGCTGCTCCGAAAGGTGCTCCAAAATGGCTCGGGTCAATCACATCACTAAATGATGCCCCATAGCGAGCTTGGCGTGGCAAATTCAGAACGACCCTTTCGAAGATTTGAAAAGGCCGAAATGATGATTGCCATGGCACCAGACTCCAGTCAGCCATTCGTCTTGCAGGATTTTAGTTGTCTGTATGTTGGTATTTGTTTGTGTCCTGCTAGCAGGCAGGGAAGGCACTGGCACTACTTTCCCAGCTTCCAGTGACTTTAGAGTGAACAAACTAGAAAAGTAGAGCACAGCAGTTTGTTGCAGAAATAATACCACCGCAAAAAAACTCTTTGGGGTCCTTAAGAAAAGAAAAGGCATTAAAGTTTGATTCCTTGGACAAATACTACAGCTTTACTACTACAAGATACATTTTCAGTTTGCATTTTACAGTTAATGTTTATAGGTTGTAGCTTCGCAGATGTGCTGAAAACGTTGGGTGTCAGAAACGAACGAAATGGGCACGACTGGCATTCACTTGCTGTCAGATTAGAATTCAATTGCAAAGAATAAAATCGTCTTCAGTGTCTCGGTAATTCAAAAATTCTTCATTAATTTCGAACACTGATGTACACTGTCCGAAGTTGAATCGTTACAGGAACTTCGTCTATACCTCCAAATGTAAGCATTATGAAAATTAATTAAAAAGCGCAAACAAGACAGGGATGTAGAAAAGACTCATACAAAAAAGACCGATGCTTTTGTCCTTGTCCTGTTTGCACTTTCTAATTAGTTTTCAGTGTCAACCAACTAGTCCAATCAAGAGTTGTGACGTAACCGTCAGTTTTTACAAGAGCCAATACTTGCCACTTTTATAGGCATGTCATAAACCTCCTATGCTGGAAATATTGCTTCCTATTTCTGGTCATTTATTTGCCATATCAGATCGCAATTAATTTGTATTTGTTTCTAAAATCTTTGTAACCAACCGTTGCAGGTGCAAAGTATGTAGCCGAGATCAACCACAAGAACATGAGGCTGCTCTTGGTAATGTCACTCATGCGACCTTTACCTGTGGCTTTTGAGATCTCGAGCATCCTTCTGTAATCGTCCTCTCTAACATTTCCTTGCAGGACGTCTTCCACATGCAAATGTTGTCCGGAAACCTGACAAACACCATTAGGGAAATATTCCCATTGGTCGGTAAGTGTCGAGCATATGTTTGAGAAGATTGCATGCACCTTTCTTGTCCGAAGCGGGGATTCCAATAACAACTCCACGGTTGTGATGATGGTCTAGTCAGGATGCTTTCTTTAGAGCGACTTCTAATGTACAAAATTAAAGAGCAGATTTGAAGATACATGGCACTATTAGCAGATGGCACCTCTAGTGTCTGCTAACGGGTGATCAGTTATTTGGGAAGCTTGTTGTCCGTTTGGTTTTGTCTAAATACTGCAGATTCGGTCCTCAGCTATGTTCACCTCACTTCTCATTGGCAACTTTACGTTAGCCTTGTTACCTACCTCATTGCTAAGGACAATTATAAAATAACTTAACCCACCATTTTCATAATAAGTGGCGCCACCTGGCGGAAAACTGGGTTCAAGGATTCTCAGGACGAAACAATGTGCACCATTGGAAAGGAGAGGGAAGGTTCCTCTTTAAATAAGCCACAATAGGCACAAAAGGGACATTGGGGAACCCAGTCTATGTCACAGTGGCTCAATGGAGCGGACAGGATCTAGCTTGCTCGGTTGAGGGAGTGCCTCTAATCGACTGAGCACAAGCTCATGCATTTTTGAAAATGGTGGATTGTGCCTGCTGGTGTGTTGTTAAAATCTTTTCTGGTGAGCCATCGTCCTCACCATCACTCTCAAGTCTAACCAGTGGTCACTGCAAGTGCCGATATCTCCACATAGGTCATGTCCAGGTGTCCCAGGCTCCGAACCGGCAAGAGCCTAGCGCACCTGGCGAGATCAACTACCGCTACATTTTCGAGCTGATCGAAGAACTCGGCTACAGGGATTGGATCGGCTTAGAGTACTTCCCGAGCGGTGCGTTAATATTTCTCGTGGCTGCCTTACGCTCGTCTGTCTTGACTGCTCGTCTTCAGCTTTAGAATTAACTATAATTAGGGTTGAGAGGCTACAGATGTGATTACCTAATTTTTCTTTTTAAAGGTTCAACAGCTGACAGCATCACCTGGATAAAGGACTACGGCTATGTGTTGTGAAGCATCGGATTTGGTTACTAGGTCCAGTGTAGGTGTTGGTAAAGGCAACGTGGGCATTATTTTGCTTGCATGCCTCAACTAAAAACTCGTTACATGGCATGTAAACAGCGTCTCGGTAAGGATCATCGCCAGGGCCCGGGGGGGAGGACTTTAACCCCCCCCCCCCCTCGGATCTCACCAGGGGAGGCAAGAGCCCCAATGCCCCCCCCCCCCCCGCCTTTGTCTACGCCTATGCTCAGGACCATGTGGGAGCATTTAGCGGGTAAACAAAAGCACAAGGTACTCAAATATTAGAAGAACTTGCATGCCATATAACTAGGGTTCCTTGTTTTTTGGGTTTATTGTTCTTTGGGTTCTGTTCTTTTTTTTGGGGGGGTTCATTATTTTTTCTGGATTCAGTGTTTTTCTGTGTTTATTTTCAATGCCAGACAACAAATCGGGGTTTATCAGGGTTACTGTTGTAATACAGCCGACCCAAATACTTGAAAAATACCGTCCCGGTATACAATAATACAGCACGATACACTTTTATTCCATTTTTGATGTATTACAATCTATTCCCACAAGAGCCAATAAGGCTCGTGTGTGGGATGTGGCAGGTATATGCGGGGGTGAACACACAGTCTTGTGAAGAATTAAATTTGTGCCTGTGGCACTGCCTAATAATTTTCTGTGCTAAAGGTTGCCGACCCCTGCCTTAAAACATAGAATATTGTTAAAACAAATTGGACGCATGTTCAACTTTTTTTTTTGGTGGGGGGGGGGGGGGGTTTAAACTAAATACAATAAAAAAAATTTCTGAGGACAGCAAAGCACTTCTTACGACTTGTGAACGCAAAAGCATGAATGTCGTCTCTCACTCCCTTAGTTCGCCTGCGGTCTTCACCATCAAGATTGCCAGTCTTAGGAACTTATAAAAGTAAGCTCTTATCCGAGTCCAGTGAACCGTACCCTCAAATATGGCGTCCAGTGAATATGGCTTCCATATTTGACTTCCATATATATATATATTTTTTTTTTATTTGGTACACCTCCACACAGCTGGTCGTTGTGGTTAAAAATTACTTGTGTCACTTGGCTCATATATATCTATGCCTACAATCATGACAAATGTCGTTGCAAGGATTTACTTACCCTCATACTGCGATGGATTGTTGTGCGAGCCAAGATTAAGTGGCACAGAAGTAATTTTGAAGCACAAAAGCCAGCTGTCTGTAGATATAGTGGAGGCGTACCAAATAAAGAAAAGATGGGAGCCTCGTGTGTGCAGCTTAGCGTCGGCCAACCGTCGTTGGCGCTGCTAGACAGTGAGATGGCATTTTCGGATTTGAGCTAGCTTTCTTAACCTCTGTCATTACGCTTTTATTAGCAGTCACGTAATGCCCCTGTGCGGGATCGCAGTGCCATTGGAATGAAGGGTTGTTTTCGTGTATCTTTCTAATAAAATTCGTCAGTTGATAGTTGCGTTTGTCATGTGTCTCTTTATACGTCCTCGTTTGTTTGCGCCGTTGATAGTTGCGTTTGTCACGTGTCTCTTTATACGTCCTCGTTTGTTTGCGCCGTTTCCACGATGCATCTTTTTTGCTTGTTCTGAAAGATGGTCAGGGGACCGGTGGCAGAGTGGGCTAGCACACACCAGCTACACACCCCCCCTAGAAGAAGAAATAAGAAACATAAAACTTTTTTTCGCCAGAAAAAACAATATCAACGTTAGGTCTGGTAACAATGTATTTTTGCTGAATCTTTAGAAAAGTTCGGCAGAAATTCGGCTTTGCCGAATCCCAAGATTCGGCGCCTAACTTTCGATTCGGCAAAAGTTTGGCCCATCACTAATAAGAACAATATTAATTGTGCTGCAAAACCTTTCTAACTAAATATTTTAGGAAACGTCATGCGCCTTTCATTTTGTACTAAACTCCAATAAAAGTTTTTTCCGTTGGTTTTTATTCAAAAGCATGCTTTCTAAAAGCTCAAGGCGACCACAGTACAGACAGATGATAGAGAGTGGCGCTGTTGTCGTATTTAGCTCGGTCTCGGCGGTGGACGCCAGCGGCCCAGGTTTCGACGGCGAGCTTTCCAACTGAGGGTTCTAGTAATGTTGACTACGGTTGATTGAATGCCATCTCGTCAAAGCACGTTATAGAGAAAGCAGAGCCTCGGTTTAGAGAAATGCCAGTAATTGAACTCTATTTAAAGGCTTTAAAGGGGACGCTTTTTAAAAAAGGCTCATTACAAAAACGTTAACTCGCCTGACGTATCCGTACATGCCGCTTCGTGGCAGCCAAATTAACTAAAAGGAGGTTCATCGCCATTTTCTCTAAACTTGGTTTCTCTATAAAGGAATTCGATGAACTGGGGTCGGTAAAACGGCGTTCATTAAAACGAGCTTCTCTAAACCGCATGCCTCAGGTCTATCGCTGGGAACACCTTGAATAGGCTCCATTTTCAAGTACTCGAAAATTGCTTAGAACTTTTGAATAAGGTAATGGCGAGTTCTGAAACTTTGATATCGAGTCCCAGCCGCTAGCACTGCATTGGGGTGGAGACTAAGCCTTCTGTGATGCTTTTCATAAAATAAGCTGGAAAAATTGACGCCTACACATGAAAAGCTGAAACTTACCGAATGTGCATTTAGGGGGTGGATTTTACCTATGACTTTTGAAGACATGTTCTCATCCTGTAAAAAATGAGACCAACAAACCTGCCACAATCAACAGCAGACGACCGAGTTATCAATGAATGTAACTTGTTGCTCCACCTACTGATAGGCACAACTAGCAGACACCAGGGTGCATAGTCTGCTCGCTGCGCTTATCGTAGACCACTCGCTCTATCCTTAGAATTATCAATAATTTGGGTTGAGAGGTAAAAGAATGTGATTTTCCTCTTTTAAAATTTCGGCAGCCGACAGCATCGCTTGAATAAAGGACAACTGTATGTTGTAAAGCATCGGCTTTGGCTACTAGGTTCAACAAATTAAGGTACTTGCGGAACTTGTGTTGTGCAAATGGGGAGTGCATCTATGAATGTGTTTCTGGTAAACTCATTATGTATCTCGATGAACCATATAATGTGCCAAGGCATACATGAATGCATATTGTAGAACATATTCTTAGTGGCTTAAAAACTCTTACGAAGAATGACTAAAAAAAAAAAAAGCTTTCTTTGTGGAACAAGAGACCAGACATAATTTTGCTGTAACAATTTTAATATAGCTTTGTAGATTAACATTTTTAGAACAAAGTAAATATAGCCTATATTTACACTTTAAAACAGAATAGTTTTTTTTTTAGTAAGAACAACTTGGTAACAGCAAGCTGCACTGCTTGAACTGCTAGCAGGTCAATAAGAGCTGAGGTTGTCCAGTAGGGTTGCTCTATTGAGCAATTCACCTTGTAACCACTGAAATAAATATCAACTAGTACACATGCATCAAAAAGCATTGTCATATTGCATACCTTAATAGGAGTGAACCCATGTAATTGCAACAGAGTGATGCGGTTCTTGCGCATGTGCTTAGGCACGTTTTGAATTGTGGAGTGCACATTCCCTCCAGAAAGTACAAGATAGCCAATACACTGCATAGTACTCAAACCAGGCTAATGCTTGCCTCCATGAATTGCAGTATCTACAAAACAGTAGCATTCCTATGTAGTGCCCAAGCATGTACTTTTTAAAGTAGCACATTATAAATGCACTTGCAAGGCGCTGCATCAGAAGGACGCTCTTTCCGAAGGTGCACACTTCAGCATGAATGTATGGGACAGCACTTCAGGTGGACACATCATTTGTGGCTTCACGAGACCAGTGTTGTCTTTGGTTCAGTTCCCAGCACTTTGATATTATGTCTAGAATATCTGAAGGACAATGAGGTGGTTTTCATTTTAGCTAAGCATGCCCAGAGCAAACTCTTCACAATCCTACACATGCCAATTTGTCCATTGGAAATAGTGAATATTTTAGTTGGCAGATGGCACCACGGAACAACTGTTCTCGAAAATATGCTGCGGGAATGTAGTCAAATGCTTAAAGAAGCCTGAGCCGAGGAAAGCAAGCCCGAAACCATTTGGTTCGCTGCCTTTACACTCACAAAGTAACCTCCACTTAAAAAGCCCCTAAATGGCACAAGTCATTGAAGTGTAAGGACAATACACCAAAAGCTTCTGTCATCAATAATGCCGTAAAACTTGCCAAAAGTATGGCTGCCTAGAGGTGCTATTTCGCATTATTGGCAGGCTCATCAGCTTGGCCACTGTCGCAGACTGAGCTACACGTTGGCAGAAAAATGTTCGTGGAACTCGCGCAGCCACTGCTACACTGCACAAAATTGCCTAAAGCAAAGTACAATCACTCGAGTCCCAGACTAGAAGCGTTCCGGTGCAGACTACATCATCCGACCACGTCGGACACTTTGAGGAACGTCGCGATGGCGCGCCAGCACTCGTGGTTGAGCCGATCCACCTGGGTGTCTTCCCCCGAGAGACACTCCACCCTCTCCCTCACGACCCCCGTGATGACGAGGTAGTTGGAGCGGATGTATTCCGCCGCCGAGTCCAACGCCGCCTTGACCTCCCGGTCCGCCTTCCCCGTCACCTTTGCGAGCTGCGTGGCCAAGGAACTACACCGCCGAAGCTTCTCAAATGCCTCGGCACACCGCTTGCTCACGTTAGTCCGCAGCACGAAGCGAACCGCGCTGTTGACCAGTCCGACGTTCCGCGCCATCGCTTCGTGAACCCTCAAGGACGCCCGGTTGATTGGTGGGTCCCAGCCCATCTTGAACTCGGTGACAAACTCGTTCTTAGCCAGTCCGCGGGACAGCATCCGTTGAAACTTTGTCCTGATGGTGACGTTGGCGAGCACTACCTTGGTGAGGGTACGGTTCTGTGCCAACATGTGCGCCAGGTGCTTAGTTCCGCGGAGGCTCATGTCCTCGCACTCAATCTCTAGCTCCCTGATGGTCGTGTTGAGCAGAAGTGCCTTTGATGCCGTCACGAGCAGGGAGTACCCCGAATCTCCAAGGATGAGGTGGAGCCGGCGGATAGATTCGTTGCCCACAATCGCCCGGTAGAACGCGTCCATCTTGACCGGGTCGCGATGTGTGAAGCACTCGATCTGGAGCTCCGCTATCTGGTTGTTGGTGGCGATGGCCTCGAACATGGCGCAAACGTGGACCGTCGGCAGCGCAAAGATGTGGAGGCGGAGCACCGTGGGTGTCGTGGAGGGAAGCGTCAGTGCCAACGCCAGGTTCGGGAGATCTGCCTCTGCCCAGTCAATGCTCACCTGGCCATAGCATTGGGAACGGGCGAGCTGGGAGGTGAGGGTCGGCCTGTGAAAAAATGGAAGAGGTTCATGCTCACGAAAAGGGTGATTTTGATGCTACATCAGTTTGATTGCTATTTTGGTTGGGTCAGAGTCACTAAATGTTTCCAGAGCTTCGTTTCCCAACTGTGTCGTGGCACTGTGGAAAAGCAGGGCAATTGCAGCCATTTTAGGTGCTATCCATGGTTTCCCTTTGGCCTCCTTCGGTTTGAGTGAGCCAGTCCAAAATCCTGGTTGCAAGCTTTAATAGATTCCATTATCCAGGCACCAGTCATTCTTTATCAACACAAATTATAAGAAGATTTGTTTTCTTTTTGTTCTTGCACAAGTGTAGCTTCCACAGTGTAGCTAGTGTAGCTTCCACAGTGGTAGGCTAGTGTAGCTTCCACAGCGCTGCATCCCCACACTGCTGCATGAACGTGCAGCTTTGCCTTGTGTCTCGTGCGCTTATGCAACTAGCTCTGACAGAGTTGGAGTACCATGGAAACTGCTAGCTTTGACAACATAGCCCAAAGCAGTTGATGCCGAGCATAGCGCTGATGAGAATGTCTGGAATTATGTGAAATGTACATGGCAGTGATGTGATTGAACCGAGTCATTTTGTAGCAGCCGAAAGTCCATTGTGAAGCAGCAAAAAAGGACTTTTGGAGTGCAAGCACACCCTTCATTATTATTCATACCACTGTGAATATTATATGTTAAGATTCGTATTTTGGCCTATCGAACTTAGAAACATGCATGCTTTGACTTCACACTTGTGTGTAATGGCAGGTTTGATTTCCTCAAACACAGAGCTAACTGTTTAGTTGTGCATAGAAGCACGAGGCATGGCAACAAAATGCTGATCTATAAAGGACTGTATGGACTGCTGTGAAAGGTAATTTTAGGCAGGAAATAAAATATAAACCAAATAGTATATTCCACTAAAATAATGTTTGAATAATCTTCATCACACAGATTGATGTTCAATTCAAATTCTAAACGGTGTGACAAAACAAAAATTGTTAATTTAAAGAAAAAAATGTGTCATTAAATTATGAAAATGAATGACATCTTGTATGTAGAGCCTCGCAATAACAGAGATGGGCACGTGAACGATAAGTATGCCAAGGTTGTTAAGGCTATTCACAAGCTTCCTTCTGCTTCACATAATTCAGTTTTAATTTATTTTATTGATTGTGCCAAGAACTGATAAAACATATATAAAAATAACTAAAAAAACAGAGCTAAAAAAACCTATAGAGCAGCTTAGTATATGAATTTTTTATTGAGTACCCTAGCTAAATCCCCAAGTTAAAAAGATACCGCCAGAATACTGCAGTCTATCATAAATAATAGGCGCAGTTCAATTAAAGAAATTTACTGCATTTTACATTAACACTCACAAAGTTCCTTTTTTTTAATATACTAGACACTTGCATGTTTAACGTACCCTCTGGGGTAATGCTTTCCCTTTAGCACTTGGATGCACTGCAGCAAAGCAAGATAAGCAAAATTGCAATGCTTATTTCGCGGTTGCCGCTTCACTGCAGTACACAAGAGCGCTGTGAGAAGCACACTCAACACAGCTAAGCCTAAATGCCAGAGCAGACTAGGAACATAAGAGATATTGCAAACATTCTGAGTACTGTTAGTGTTTGACACTGACAGAGAAGTCAAATAGAACAGTATGCTATTTGCAGCTAAAATCAAAAGTTCTGAAAATTCGCAAAAGCCTACCATAACGATTTGGACGTGTAGCGGGGCCTGAGGCATTATATTGTCAGTATTATAATGAAGTGAAATCAAGTTTTGGCACAATGCTGGCACAAATTCATCATATTTCGGCTGAATGTAGCAGGATGTAACAGGGTAAGCTTTTTGACGAAATTTGGTGCAAATGGCGCAGCAATCGCATCACTGACATGGTTCCCCATGAAAGTTTGAAACTGTTTTATAGCTAAGTGTTACCCGCTATAGATTAACATTTTTTTTTTTTGTTGACTGCCCTTATTTGTTTTATATAACTTGACGTAAATAAACTAAACTAACCTGAAACAGGGCTGCTTCCTACGTAAAGGGAATCAGTTTCTTTTTCCTTCCAAAAATTGCCGATCGAGAACTGGTTGGTTAGAGTCGCAGTCACTCTCTTTTCTGTGGTCACGTGCGGTTTAGACACAACCACCAAATATAATCAAAGTTGTGGGTCATCGAAGGCACACACTCAATATGAAACCCATTTTTCGTGGCTTCTAAAAAGCTGCAAATATGTTGATTGAAAAGAAAAAAAGGTGCAGTGTGCCGGAAGCACGAGCACTGCGTAATTCTCAACATGGCATTGCATTGCGGGAGTCGTGGACTGGACGAAGCGGACTAAGCAGTGGCGGCGAATGACAAGCGTGAGACCTCGACTTCAGAACTGTCGTTCATGGTCCCTGCGAATCTGTTTAGCTTTGAAAAAGAAATTTTTTACCAATCAAAACAATTAGGATTTACTCCGTAAGACACACCCAACCACCAAGCTGATTCACTTCAGGACGTTACCGACTCGTTGCCCCTTCTCCTGGCTGAATGAACACCAATTGGTAAGAGCTTGAACCACATGCAAACATCAAGCACGAAGAGCGTACTTGGTGTTGAATGTGCATACATACAATTTCTTTACTAGGTGCGAATGTGGCCCATGCGTGGTACTGTACGACTGAGCCTGGGGTTTGATTTTGCAGCAGGGAATCGGCAGCAGACTTTCTTATCTACAGTCGACTGGCTGCATTACTGCAAATTAGCAGTTCCCCCTCTTGTGCTTGACCATTGCAATGTTAAAACTGTTGTCTGCTTTGCACATTTTAAAAAAAAGAAGAAGAAAAATGCAGTCGTGTGTAGTTACGTGATTTCCGGCAACTCTCTCCTATATTCGCCCCCCCCCCCTCTCTAGTGGACATGCTGCGCAATTACTCCGTGCTCGTGTTTCGAATTCGGTTTTGAGCAGTTGCCTTTTTTGACTTTATTAAAAATATATGTGACTCTCTAGCAAAATATTGATCGGGTAGCCTTCTGACATTATATTGAACCACCTGGCAAAAAACAGCAATTCATTTTTGGGGGTGTTTTTATAAAAGAAACACTAAAGATTGCATCAGTCACCTTTCGTGGTCTTCAATGCGATACGTGCTCAACGCCAGGTTCTTCAACGTCTTGTTTTTCCCCAGCACCCTGCAGAGGACGCTGGAGCCACGGATACCCTGAAGGTTGTGGCTCAAGTTGAGACTCCGAAGTGTGCGGTTCACTTCAAGCGCTTCCGCCAGCTTCTCCATGTCTTCGTCTTCTAGCTGGCACGTCTTCAACACGAGAGTGTGCAGCCCGGTGTTCCTCGCCAGCGCCGCCGACAGACCATCCGTGGCACGTCCACTGACGTTGGAGTCAGTCAGGTCCAAATCTTGTAGCGTTTCGTTCACTTCCAGCGCCCGGAAAAACGGTGCAAGAGACGCCTGGCAGTTACAGAGCTTGAGTTCACGAACCGAGTTTTTCCCCTCAAAGGCCCTCGCAAGGATAGCCATTGATTCGTCATTGTGACAGCTGTTCTTCAGGGAGAGCGTGTGCAGCATGCTCGAAGACCGAACTAGTTTCGCCACCATCTTCATTGCCCTCGGTTTGACATTGTTGTCGAATGTCAGTTCGGTTAGGTGTGTGCAGTGAAGGAGACCCCTCATTATAGTGTTCACGGACCGCTGAGATACGTTATAGTTGTGACTGAAACTGACCTTCTTCAGGTGACCAGCGTTGCGCTTCAGCAAATCTGCGAAGGCCGATGCCAACTTGTGGCCGATGTCTAACCCGATGAGCTCGAAGCTTTCCAGGCGAACGAGGAATCCGAGCCCCTCGCACAACTCCTCTTCGTTGACGATCCTGAAGCCCTCCATTCCTAGCCTGAGGTGGCGGATGTTCGGGCTTAGTCCCATGCTGAGGAGGTAGGAAGGCTGCTGTAGTAACACCTTGCTGGCTAGGTGGATTGTCTCGACGCACCGGTGCTTCGTCAACCAGGTGAAGATGTAGGCGGCGTCGTAGAGTGCGTCTTCCTCTAGTGAGTTGTTGAGTTCGGAATCGAAGCTGAAGACGCCGAGTTTACCGGGCTCCTTTTCGACGACTTCGATGCTGACCCGGTGGATGAGTCGGTTGAACGGGGTTAGGTTCCGGACGAGCCAACATTCTGCTGCGGCGTTGGAGGAACACTCGTCGAGATCGAGGTTGAGCGCTCGGAAACGTTTCCGTAACTCGGCAACCCGCGTCCGAATGTAACTTTCTGGCTGACTTGCCTCACAGTTTCCATCGGCGGCGGGGGAGGATCCCGCCTCAGGTTCAACGCCGGCAACCGTCATGACTCGTTGCGTGCGTTATCTGGTGATGATCGTTAATGTCCGATAGGATCACAATCCCCGTGGTAAAATCTAATAGCAAAATCGCCGGCCAACGCCAGGGAATGGTTGATGTGTCGAGTCCGTGATGCAATGTATGGCAAGACCAATGATCTACAAGCAGCTGCCGCCAAGAGATCAGCACGTGAGGGGGCAGGTCACTGTTATGTGTGGAGCCTTCGCTTACATTTCATGTGCGCTGACGAACATTCTGACAGTAGAACGGGACGACGAACCAGAGCACCAGAGCGATTACCTACCGCAGCGAAACATGCGAAACCTCAATGTACGGAGGCCGCCATTACTGCTGTCCATTGATGCTAGACGCTCTGATTCTGCTATGTAAATGTCTGCTAGATCCAACGAGGTTAGATCACTTTTGGTAAACTTTTAACGTTATTCACGTCTACACGCCTAAGGGACACTTTTTTGATTATTAAAGTTTAAAATAATTGTTTTGCGATGAAGGGAGTGACTTTTTTCTTCAATGAGAGTTGCTTTTTAGCGAGTTTTGCCGGGCGGCCACTAATGGCATGGCTGTACAATCCAATCCAAGCCCCATGAATTTGAATTCGATTGAAACTGATTGAAACAGTTGTGTGCGGCGTGTATGTGCGTGCGTATGTGTTCCGCGCTCCGTATGAATGAAAGAGTGAATGTGCCGCAACACATTTCTGTTGCTCTAGGAACCCCGATGCTTGTAACAGCCGCGTAAAGTTAGCAATGTTGTTTCGTTGGTTCCTCTTTATTTACACCAATCCGAACGACGCAGTGACCCCAAAATGTTAGAATTTTTAAATCTCCGGTGCATCACGTGTACCCCCAGCTTCCGCGTTCTATTTCGCCTGTGTATTCATTCAGTTCTATTTAAATCCGCGAAGACACCCTACCAGCTCCACGTTCATATCACACGCACCAGCGATGGAAAATCAGTACCTCCAAGTCAACTCCGTCGTGATCAAGGGCACGCTCACGATCGAACACCTTCTCGACAACGGTACGCCGTCCCGAAAGTCCACGCACCCGAACTCCGAGGCGACGTTGTGTCGCAACGAATTCAGAGACGTCTTGCTCCAGGCTCACCTGGGCACACGCAGCGCCGTGTATCCTCTACGGAACGCCAAAATTCACAAACGGTTTGTGAAAGAAGGCAAGATGTCTATCGTGCTGGCAGAGCAGAAGGTCAACCTGTACTTCTCCAACTGTCCGTCGAACAAGCTGAGCACGTTCGTCAAGTTCCTTTCGGCCAAGGGCACGAACCCGGACCAGACCGTGGGTGCTAGAGAGCGTCTGCTGTCGGACAAGCCCAAGGGGATTCAGGAGATCAGCCCGCTGATGCTGCGCTGCCCGAACACCGGTCAAAGCCTCCCGAGTCAGAAGAGAGCGCTTGCCGAAACGTCCTCGACGACTCCGGCCAAGAAGCGGAAAGGGGTGACCGAAGTGGCGATGGTGAGCCAGCAACAGTCTACTTGTAGTTTATTTAGCTCCCACTAATCGCTGTTAGCTCGTCCAAATAATTAGTGGCCCCTTGTACTATTGTTCAATGCCCAAAACTAATGTAAAAAATAAATAAATAAATAAAAAGATGATAGAATTGTAGTAAATGCCAGAAGTTACATTCAAATAATGAAATATATCAAATCAAAATAAACAGGAAGCTGTTTGTTGTCTTTCCGTAATGTAACAAAACATGGGGAATACAGCAATGCAGGGTGAGATATCACAGAGAAAAAAGTTTGGATGAAAGTTGGGCAAAACCAAGTGAACGCCCACGTTTCACCAAATGACATTTTAGCGAATAGTCGGCCACCGCAAAGCGGCACTTACAGGTGGCCCAAGTGGGTTCCCATTTCTGTAATGAGCCGTCGCAGACTGCTGTTGTGAAAAGGGCGTAAGTGCAGCGCGGGGGGGGTTAACATGCGCCCCCATTATTCGCTAAAACGTTGATTCGCTCAAATGTTGCTGTTCGCTAGAACGTCATTCACTCATACGATATAAACCCACTAATTCACCTCTCAAGCACACAGCAATGGGAAAGTTGTTGCTTCACAATTCAGGATTGTTAGTAGTAGCATTTTTTGAGGTGTGTGACTCCACAAGTAGTAATAATAATAATGCCTATTTGGCATCTGTGACAGTTACACAGGCCAAAACAACGGACAAAGAGTGAACAAGTGTTGACTTCATGGGCTCCGGCACTTGGCAGATGACTATGGGGTTACAAAATAAGGACAGGGTACGACAACATATAAATGCTTACACAAAGAAACATATAGTTTAAAGGTGTACACTATAGGAACGTAAATACACATTTCATTAAAGTTTATAATAGTTTTAAAGATTTACATCACAATAAGAAAAGGTTCACTACACGAAATGTAAATGCAGTGAGTTAAAGTTTAGGGTGTGAATGTTAATTTGTTTCATATTATATTCACTTAGCAATGAGAGTAGGTTATGTTGTAACGGTTGCAAACTGCGTTCATGCGAAATCGGGCAACTTTCCATTCTTCCGAGCAGCAAGTGCGGATAGTCATTGTTTTTAATTAATCCTGCATGTCTCTTCAAAAAATTTTTAAGTTCTGGGGATAAAAATTGAATTGACAGAATTAAAAGATATTTATACAGATTGTGTATATTTATGATTTTGAATAATTAAAGTATTTATGTGTATAATTAAATTCAAGAAGGAAGGGAAACAGGTACTTTATAGACATACCTTGCTTGAAGGAACTACGTCACCCGTCTTCATTCCTGTGCCTACGGTCACTGCCAGCTTCAAAGACACGGTGCGGACCACATTATGTTTACGCCTCTTTCCTTGTCATTTGTCCTCCGGCGTTCTTATCGGCTAATGCCGCAATCCGACTGGCTACGGAGCGAAAATAAGATGCTCGAGATTCACCACATCCTGGCTTGTAAGCCGTCGGTGACTATAATTATGCATTGAAATCGCAGCCCAGTAGGACGCTGAACCCCATCCAGCTCACCGCTGAACAGAAGGCGGTCGTGAGTGCGGTGATGGCCGGCCGAAACGTCTTCTTCACCGGAAGTGCCGGCACTGGCAAGTCCTACCTCCTCCGCCACCTCATCTCCTCCCTGCCGCCCCAGGACACCTTTGCCACCGCCACGACCGGGGTGGCGGCTGCACAGATTGGGGGCACCACGCTTCACGCGTTTGCAGGTGCGTTCTGTCGTCCCCCGTCCTGGCCCGTGCCGTGGGTGGATGCGTTTGGAGAGCGACGTAGACGTCTTGAAACCAGGCATTGAAATTTTTCTGAGGCATGCACAGGGTGTTGCTTTATATCTTGTTAGGTTGAGGTAAAAGGTAGTAAAAACAACTTTTGGTTGAAGCGTGCGGAGCGAAAGCTCACGCGGGAGGACCCCGTGATCCTGGGGTGAATTCCTACACCTGCACGTTTCAGACTGGATGAGCATTGTACCGGCATGCGGTCCTGTAATCACTTCTGCACAATACACGTGAAAGACCCCAGGCTGGCGGTGGTACTGCACTAGCTGAATTTCCCATCCACAGCGATAACGCGCCAGATGCCAGTAGGGCTGGCCGTAGTCTAAACGTATGCGTGACACAATTACTTTATATTCATTTTTCTTCAGGTGTGGGCACGGGCACGGCCACTGTAGAACAGATGGTGGAACGTGCCCAGAGACCGCCCTGGGTGGCACAGTGGCGGCGTTGCAGCGTTCTTGTCGTCGACGAGGTTTCGATGCTGGACGGCCGCTTCTTCCAGAAGCTCGAGCGCGTTGCTCGTCTCGTGCGTCGCAGCGACCGCCCTTTTGGCGGGATCAAGCTCGTCCTGTGCGGCGACTTCTTGCAGCTGCCGCCGATCTCGCGCAAGGGAGACCCTGCCCCCGTCTTCTGCTTCCAGGTGAGAGCTTCAGTTGTACTATGATACCTGAAACGCATCACCATCTGGTGTCTTTAGCGAGCATTGACCTAATCCCTGATGCCGGCAGCACCACTATTGTATGTTGTTTCCAAACCGGAGAGAAGGCGTCCTTGCCTTTTTTTTCACTGTCTGAGCAAACTGCGGAGGTGATGGAAACCTATGCGGAGTCCAAGTTTGACTGCTTCTTGCACACGGGTTGCGATGATGTCAGAACGCCGAGCACTTATTGGCCAATTGAAAAAATAGTGGGCACCTACCTAGCATTGAGGTCTATCCACTATCCTTTCAATCAAAGCCAATTGGAGCTCAGCGTCGTTCTGACGTCACCGCAAATTTTGCGCAAGAGGCAGATGACTTGCTCTTTGCACAGGGGAAACTCAAATACGAGTCTCCCGTTAGTGTAAGAGCGGTAGCCAGCATTTCACTGTGAAACATTGGAAGTTAAAAGATTTAACTTTGAAAGCTACAGGCAGGTTGTTGTTCAAATGACTATCAATCGCTTTGTTATTTGTGCACTTTCATTGTTTACAAGTGCCGTGGTGCAATTTGATTCTAATTACAGCTTGGAAAATGCTCCAACCAAGGTAGCTCAAAGCCAGTTTTGACAACTACGACGACCGCGCAGAACCGGCCACGCTGACTTGCGCGTCTCCGTTACGATTGCAGACGGCAGCATGGCGACAGTGCGTGCAGGTGTCCCTGGAGCTGCGCCAGGTGCACCGGCAGCGAGACCCCAAGTTTGTGGAGCTCCTTCAGGAGGTCCGGCATGGGCGGTGCCCAGAGTGGGTCGAGGAGATCCTCGAACGCACGGCGGACAACTGCCTCAACACAGGTCCAACACTTGGCTTTCGACACGTTTACGTGGTCCCACGTGCGCAGCAGGTTGTGACTGCAGACTCTTCGTTCATCCCTAACCTGACAGTGCAGTCTAATTTTCGAACTCATTGGACCATGTCATATGTGTTTTGCCACAGGATCACGCTCCCCCGTCCGTAGCCACGTGCAGAGGGTGGGGTCAGGCGACGAGAGGGAGACGGTCAGTTGGTCTTACGACCGCGTAGCTTTCACCGCACTGTCGGCTTAGAGGTGATTGGAGAACGGCGGTATCTTTACTGAGAGGCACGGGTGAAACGTGCAACGTGCGCCGTTGAGCTATGGACGTAGTAGTATAGTGTTTCAGGCCACCCACAGTGCAATCTAAATGTTGGAGACCATATTTTCACTTGTGTAAATTGTGGTACGTGCAAGTATTACTATATAGCTGACCATCTGAGCTCGGTGACATTGGTACACATCGCTATTTGACGAGCGTTGAAGCTCCGTCTGTGGCTCGCTCACTAGTGAAGGAGACATGACATTGCTAGAAAGTAAACAATACCAGTCCCCTGACGCATAGGCGCCAACTACGGGAAACTTGAAGGCCCAAGGCCCTCCCCCCCCCCCCCCCCCCCCCCCGAAATTTCCCGGGAAGAGCTCAGGAGAGGGGAAGGGGGGCTCCCCCCCTCTCTCTCTCTCTTGAGCTCTTCAGAAAAGCAAGTACTATCACCGCCAGAACCTCTGGGTGCATGTCATTAATCTCATCTGTGCACCCAGGTGCCTGCACATATCAATAGCTGGCACCCAGTGGATAAATAAAAATTTATCTGTGCGCCCTGGTGCCAAGCACATATCAATAGCTGGCGCCCAGTGGATAAATAAAAATGATTTTACCACTCACCAGCTCTGGTCACTAGGTGACCAGAACTGGTGAGTGGATAAAGGAACAAATACGATAAAGGCTAGTGCTGGAAATTCCTTTGAAAGTCGTTAGGAGTAGTTGCGAATGACTGCAGTGGCACCTCTAGCGGACCTGCAGCCTACGGAAGTAGACGACATAATATGTTTTGTAAGCCCCATTTTGTTTTTCCAAACGGTGACACAATTCATTTCAGTGTGTGCACTGGAGCCACGGAATTTGCTGATCACAACTGCAATGACAGCTAAATTATAGGGTCACAAAATCAGACATTTGTTTAGGTATCATGCTTATGCTAAGTTATCCAGGGGATTACACATGTTTGGGTCGTTTCAAGAGACGTCCCAAACGTTTTTCTGGGGGGGGGGGGGGGGGGGGAGGCGGCGGCTTCCCCCGGGAAGTTAATAACTTTCCGCCTATGCCCTGACGTGTGCTACTAGGCTATTTACTGCAGTAGAATTGCCATTACCAGAGACACAACAATCCTGAGGTATTGCTTGCATGTTTGGGTAAGAGGTGAGTGGAACACTGTAGCTTCGGCATCTGTGGCCAAGATTAATGTTCACTTAATGAATCAATGTTTAACAATATTTGATAACAGTTGTTTCATCAATATCTAAGTTTGGTCTGTACTGCCTGATAAACAGTGATGCATGACTACTATTTCACATGTTCTAAAGTGAAATTGCCTGTAAACTGGGTTAAAGGCAACTTTACTTAATTCTGAAGATTTCGGGATAATGAGTGATTTCACCTTAAAAAGCCTTAGTAAATGACACGAGGTCATTTTCTTTGCGAAAAATGGAATATATATTTTTGAATCTGATTTTAAACACGAGCAGAAATCAAAACCGGAACTTTGGCCATGTCCGGCAACATTGGCCTCGGGCCGCCAAGAACATGGCTATCACGTGGTATGAGATGTCACGTGATCCTCTACGCAGTGATGGGGGGATTTGGGCGGGCGTGTACCAGGTGGAAGTGTCGTCTGCACCGCACTCTTTACCACGTTTTTGTGTGCACGACATTCGACGGCATCTGCACAACTGCGGCATAAGTCTGTGTCTGTAGTGTGGAAAAAACTCCGAGAGACAAGAATCACAAACGGTGAAACGATGACGGCGGTTGTGACGCGGGAGACGGCGGTAACGGCAGGGCGGCCGGACGGCTCTCAAGACGCGCGCTGCGCAAGCGCGTTCCGTCAGTCATGTGGACACGGCTGAGCGTTGAGAGGAAGCATTGCTGACGTCACTCGTTACACTTTCTTGGAGAAGTAAAAACAAGCAAAAGGGGGCACTGGTGATGATGTTTAGCTCAATGTTGGCTATGCCCACGCCGCAGCCTTGACTGTGCTGTTGGTTGACCTCAATTCGCTTGCTCGAGTAAGCTGATTTCGGCAAATTGGTGAGTTCCAAAGTTTGCCGGACCGTTTAAAGAGCTCCTGAAAAGAAAAAGAATGTATTTTTTTTTAAACAATCTAGTTGGGGCACGCGTAGTTGCCCTTTAAAGTTTAGCCCGATATGCTTAATAGCATTTTTCTGACCGGAAAGAGTATCCACGTTCATTGGTGCACAATTTAAGGGGAGGTGCAGTTCTGAAAATGACAATATTTTTCAAAATCATTATTTCGGGCTTTATGATGATTTATTATCCTTGAATCTTTATATTCTATGTGTAAAAATCGCTTCCGACCAGTTATAGTCTTGAAATTAGTGAAATACTCCCGGCAATCCAGACAGCATAAATTTGAGCCATTTCTGTGTCCCCAGCCGTCTCCTTTCCATTGCAGTCTTCTGCAGCCTAATTTCTCACAGAAAATTAATCACAAGAAATTATTTTTCCCTCCGCGAAAGAGTGTCGCCAAGCATCTATGATAACATTCAAACGCATTTATCTCTTTATGTAAATTTAGGACATTTTCACAGCTTGTACACAATAACTTTTTGTTCTTAATACTGTCATATCACAACCAAATTTGGCATACATATGCTTTAGAGTATTTAGAATGCAATTATCAAAGCTTGGTTAGAATGTATATTTTTTATATTTATGACACAGTTAAGAAACTTTTGTTAGCCCTTTGAAAATGGCGTTTTTGCGATTTTCAATTATTTTAAAATAAAATATCATGTACACAATAATTTTGTTGTTTAGTGCACTCAGTTGTTTAAAAGGAACAGATTAGTTTATTTTACTACGCTCTTTCAAGTGTGTTGCTGTGCCCCACATGTGCACAAGAACAGTGTATTTTTTCTGCATTTGCATAGCATCCAGAACATAAAGAAACAAGCTGTATCAAAACACACATCAGATCTATAAAAAAAGAAACCAAGCACTATAAATTGCCAAAATTTCATTCAGTTATCCTAAATAGTAAAAAAAAAAGATGTTTTCCCTTGATGCGTGTCCCCTTAATGCAATCTCTAAAGCGAAACATTTTATGGTACCAAGTGCATGTTCATATGCATTTCAGGGAGCGTTGTTGCCACACGGCTGAGCACACACAACGATGACGTCGACTTCATGAACAAACATCGATACGATGCCCTGCCGAGCCAGGAGCACGTGTTTGTGGCAACAGACTCTGCAGGCGCTCCGTCGGACCTACTCGACGCCTGTGCGCCGTCGACGTTGCGTCTCAAGGTCGGTGCTCAAGTGATGCTCACCAAGAACACCAAACTGCGGGCGGGATTGGCGAACGGATCACGAGGTGTCGTCGTGGGATTTGAGGCCACATCAGGTGTGTCGCAATCACTCACAGTGGGCGTCCTTGACTTTGGAAAGATGGTAATCTGGTTTCTTGGAAAGCCCGGAACCCGACGTACAGGCCTTTTCGAAAGCCATTGCCATCTAGTGGCAGTCACAAAAGATTCAGAAGCTCCGCTCTAACGGCGATGGTGGGAGAAGAAACTTGCTCGTTTGCACACCCTCAACGTTGTGCGTTGACGCTGGCGTTCGGGGGCCAACCTATGGGAATTGATTCTCCGCTTTCTGCTCTACGCTGTTGAAGTTGTTACATTTCCCTTTTATGTGGAAGCTGCGCGATGCTGCCATAAGAGCGCAGTGTTCGGCTCAGGAGAATGTGTATGGACTAATGTATGGAAAGGGTTTATTGTGAACAAAATAGGTACCTTCTTGACGGAAAAAAATTGCACTATGCTTTTCTAATGGCGACTCAAAAACTCGGAGTGCGCCTCAATTTAGAATCTCTCTCTAATGGTAAAAGGTGTTGAGTATCTACTCGTTTTTATGAAGGTAGTGAACAAACTAAATATCCATGTGTCTGTATCATCTGTCTACCAAAACATCTTTTATAAGGTGTTTCGATTGGCATATAGTTCTGTCCACCAGTTTGCTGTTGTGAGCTCTGGCACATGCAGAAGGTTGGCATTTCCAGTATAGTATTCATTTTACACCATCGAATACATAGTGTACAAAGCTTACAAGTTTTATCATGCTTGCATCTTCCAACAAAATGGCAGACTGACTTCCGGTGAACGTACTGTATTAGAATTATGCGAGTACCCATCTTTCTCAAAGCATGCTTTGCGCTTCCCACGCATCACTGGACTACCCAGAGCTTGCTGCATGAACCACAAGCCCATCTCAGTAGCCACTATCATATGACTGATGAAAGTAATAGACCGATTTCAAACCTGCATGCCATCTAGTAGCTGCTGTGCACCAATTATTTAAGTCCGCCATTGCTTGGGCATGTATTGGACATGACTCTGAGCATGTATTAGGGCCGCATCAGCATCCTGTGTCAACTCGGTCCAGCTCGTATTGAAAACGAGTGCTAAAAAGTCTGCGTTTGCCGAACACTCAAATCCAGTCACGTGCTTCGTGCCAAGCAAATGACGACCGCCAATGTTGCTCGATGGGGTTTTGAAAAGGGTTCATTAACAGCTTTATTGTGCTACGATCTCCCATCAGGCAACCCCGTGGTGGAGTTTGCCAAGGGAGGAGGCAAGCAGGTGGTGGGCAAGGAGCGCTGGAGCGTGAGGACGGGGCCGGAGCGGACGTGCCACAGCAGACGCCAGCTCCCGCTGCGGCTGGCCTGGGCCATGTCCATCCACAAGTCCCAGGGGCTGACGCTGGACTTTGCCGAGCTCTCCCTGGGACGCACCTTCGAGGCGGGGCAGGCGTACGTTGCGCTCTCCAGGGCGGCCTCGCTCCAGGGACTCAGGGTGCTGGACTTCAGCAGGGCCTGCGTTAGGGCCGACGCGCAGGTGCTGGCCTTCTACCAGCGTCTGGAAGACTCCTGACCGTCCGCGTCTTTAGGCATAGTTGTACCGTTTCTGGTCTGTCGCATTTGGGAATCTCATTTTTAGAATAAAGGTGCGTGTGATCTGCAAATGATGAAGTGGAGCTGCGTTATTAGTATAGACATGATAACCCTGGCTGCTGGCTTCAAATTATTGCTGCGTTGGTTTCCAACATTTCAATCTTGAAGAACCCTTCTCTGCCTGCAGCGGAAGAACCCAGCCTCGTCTTAACAGTGATGCTACAAAGTGGTGCAGAAGCCTAGAGACCTTGCAAATTACAGTGCACATATACTAGGGAGTGCTTGGCTCATAGTTATGTATGGAGGCGGGCTCAGATCTGCTAAAATAGAACTTAAGCCAGAACACCTTATTTAGCTGCAGGGGCAGTCGAGGAAATCTGGGAGAAATCAGTTTGCAAACCAACGGATGTTGAATTTAGAACAAAAGCTTTAAAATGTTGACACATACATTTCATTGGTGTGCTTTGTTCTCATGTTGAAAAAGAGTCATATTTAGGTATAATATGTGAATAATAAGTGGACAAGCATTGTGCCAGCATATGGTTGCTCAGTCACCAAAGGGGAAAAAAAATCATTATTTTTTTAGGGACCGCGAAAATAAAGGAGTTTTGGTTGCATCACTGCAAGGCGTGCCATTTTCATCTTCGACAGTGCATACACCAGTGAGACGATCATCAGACACCTCCAGAGCAATGATGCTGTTTCAAGAGCCACTTACCATGCCCTAACGAGTTCCGCCGTTAGCCCGTAGGCCCTAAATAAAAATTAACATAGTTTGTACACAAGAATCGAGCCCATTCCATTTCCCACTCCATTCCGAGCACGCGCGCTTGAGGCTATGTCACTGCACTAGCGTGCGTGTATGCTAAGCAGGGACGCTGAAAGCCGGGAGCTCGCGCTTGTAGCATCGTCTGCACAAACACTCGTGCTTGGCAGGGACGCTGAAACCCCGGAGCTATACTCCGTTTCACCTTCCGTCCGAGCACAGCGGACGCTAGGAACCATCCCAGCCAATGCGGCGTTGAGGGAGTGTCATGCGACCTTGAGCTCCCTGTGTCGCCCCGCCCCACCGGCAGGTCACGCGACTTTCTCCCGGCGCTGGATCGGCTGGGATGGCTCGTGGCGTCCACTGCGCTCGGACTGAAGGTGAAACGGAGTATAGTGCCACTAAGTAAGCTACGCTTCAGAGTAACGGCACTTGCCCATATTGTGGCCCAAAATAGTGGTGGCCAGTTATCTAATGGCTTTATCTGAAATCACAGGAAACGTTTTTCCGCCCTCCACAAATGTTTAAACAGTTTGCGACAGAGCGAAGCAATATTATATGAGCTTCCTAACACGGAATCTAATGCTGAGGAAGTCGCACTTTTGAATCATGACGACCGGCAGTTGCGTCTGCCCTGCACAAGCACCGAAGTGGCGGCGCCCACAATGTCGGGGAACAGAGTGCCGACACTCGTACCGCTCATTCACACTGGAAGCGGATCCGCGTTCGCAAAGCGGTTGCGAATTGCACGCGCACTCGATGACATCAAGGTATGGTGTTAGGTCACTGAACGGAAGCCCGAACTCGCTCGCGAGAGCGGCATTGTCGTCGACTCGTCATGTTAACAGATTCGACGAAACGACCGCGCCCCCACGCTGCTGTAACCCACCGTGGTAACCAGAGTCTCGATCTCCTAAATACTACCGATACCGACTATTCACACTTGACGTCACTCCCTACGTCACCTTTGTTTTCAGAGGCCCAGAAGTGAGCATGCAGATAGTTCAGTTTCGGTTTCTTCAGTTCTTTCGTAGGCACAGAAATACGTGTCACAAATGCGTACAAAATATTAGGTAGCGTGCTAGGTTCCCGAGAAGTTTAAAAAAAAACATTTAGAAAAAAATATATATATAAAATCGTCTTCATTGTCCTTTTAAGCCATTACAGAGATGCCGTCACCTTTGAGTCTTGCAGCCTGTGAGCATACTGAACTGGCCCGCGAAGTTCGGCAGACGTCGACCGATTTTGACACGGACTGGCGTTCCTGCGTATGTGTAATGCACGTCGTGAGATGACCACAAGTTAGAACAGTTGCTGCCTGCCTACACAGTCGGCAAGCAAACTGACACTTCCAAGGATTGCATCACCATCTGTAATACCCCCGTTATACCCTTGTTACACGGGAGCACTTAACTGAAGTTAAGCTAAGCCACAGTTAGCGCACAATACTTGCGGACAACATTCTGCGGCTATGCAGTCAAAGCTATGGGCGAACGTGCGCTTGAGCATCTTGAGCACCCATCGAAGTAGTGCACGCGCGCTCTTCACTTCTTCTTAAATAGCTGTCCGAGAATATAGTGCGGTAACTTTGGTGCCACGTAACAGCAGTTAGAGCTGAGTTAACCACGGTTAAGGGTGCCCGTGTAGTACCCCTGTTACACGGGCACATTTAACCGCGGTTAACTCAGCTTAACTGCTGTTGCGCGGCACCACAGATACCGTACTATACTCTCGGACAGCTATTTCAGAAGAAGTGAAGAGCGCGCGTGCACTGCTTTGATGGGTGCTCAAGATGCTCGAGCGCACGTTCGCCCATAGCTTTGACTGCATAGCCGCAGAATGTTGTCGGCAAGTATTGTGCGCTAGCTGTGGCTTATCGTAACCGCAGTTAAGTGTGCCCGTGTAACAAGGGTATTATACCCCTGTTACACGGGCACACTTAACCGCGGTTAACTCAGCTTTAACTGTGGTTACGTGGCAGCACAGATGCCGCACTAAACCCTCGGACAGCTATTTCAAAAGAAGTGAAGAGAGCGCGTGCACTGCTTTGATGGGTGCTCAAGATGCTCAAGCGCACGTTCGCCCATAGCTCTGACTGCATCGCCGCAGAATGTTGTCGGCAAGTATTGTGCGCTGAGTCAGGTGGCGATGGCGCTGAGACAGAGGTCACGTGTCGACCGCGAGGCCCAAGAACCTTCTTTAAATAAGGAGAAGAGTTTTGGGTCTTGCGGTCGGCACGTGATCTATGGCTCAGCGCCATCGCCATTGGCTCCAGGAAGAAAGCGCGTGGAGCGGAGCCGTTCGGAAGTAATGGCTCTTCCATAACCGTGCTACACAACGGAAGAAAATTGCATTCATCGAGGGTAAGTTCCCGTCGAACTCACTCGAGTTGCTACCGTTCGCTCCACTCATCCGAGTTTTGCTCTTCGGGAGGGCTTGCGATCGGCAGGACCTCAGCCGTACGGTGAGCCTGAAATGCCCGCGGGGTGGTTCCACCGCGTGAGCCGAATGGATGGTTGGCCCCTTGAAAAGGCCGGGGAAATCGGCAGACGTGCGGAAGCTCTTTGTTAACGTGTCGCACCGAGTTGTTGTTTTGAACATCTTCCGCCTAAAATATACACCACCTTGGCCCATAAATGTGAGTAAACCTTTAGGCGGTCTCTTCTCTTTTGCGGGTGAGCGATCCATTTGACTGTGGCGGGTTTTGCAGGTAATTCCAAGCGGACATGAGTTTTCGTGTACTGTGCACTTGAATCAAGTATCTGTGGACCGTTCCTGAGCGTGTATACGGCCCCGAACAATGCGCACGGAGCACCAGTTAGCAGAGAAATCGCGAACACTTCACCGATCTTCGAGATCCCTAGGAGGTGCTCTGGCAGGCATCCAAATCTAAATAATATTTAGTGAAACGAACGCACTTTGTCATAACAGAAATGATGCACCTTAGTAAACTGGCTGTTTAAGTAGGGCATTTGGTACAACTTTAGAGCTCGACGATGCATGTAAAATGCATGTTGAGTTCTGGAAGCTTCCTGTCAGCCCGCTGCACGGGCTCCGCAACGAAAGAGTTTACAGATGCCCCTGTAGAGTGACACACGCCCATTCGTGGCTAATATATCGTAGAGTGACGTAGCGTGCGCATCGTGGCAACTGAATCGAAGCATTAGCTCATGTCTTTGACGTCATGCCAAGACGGCGGTGCTTGATGTGGAACGCTGGCGAGGATAGCGCGGGCGGCCGCCCGATCGAAAAGGTTTAACCACGGACATGCATCCATCGACTTGGAGCACGTGCAGACCTTTTACTCATCGGAAAACGGGTAAATGGGTTTCTGCCCATACGATTGCTAGGCTCTGTCGAGAAAACGCTCTTGATTATAAACATTGCGTTGGTCTACAGATCTAGTGGTGGTCTAGTGTAGCGACGACCACCACCTGCGACCGAGAGCGGTCCCACGCTTACTGCCTCCTTAGGTTATTTCTATAGACTGGCATTCCCTCGCCCGCACACTCTCGTCCGCTCGGCGAAGAGGTGTCTGGTTTCCTGCGGTACTCCCACCCTACACCTCTCTCTTCTAGCCCCATAGGAGTTCCAGGCGGCGCTGCTACCCTCACCTGAAACACACTGCGCTCTGCAAGCCGACAGGAAAACGGAAGCGCTTCTGATCTTGAAGGAAAGACGCTTAAATCGTCTTCATTTAGCCTCCAGGGTTACAAAAATCAACTTTACATTTTTTTTAATTTTTCTCAATTTTTTTTTTTTTTTTTTAATTCGGTGCACGGAGGCTGCGGAAAATCATTTTCGAGGTACCGCTGAAGCCCTTCCTCCCCGGAGCGTGACGTCATATTAGGAGTTTTCGGAATCTCCGCCCTAGTGCATCTTCAGCCCCTATCAAAGCCAGCACGCGCACCGTTTTGCCATTTTCAAGAAAAAAACGTCAGAAAAAGTTAAAGACGTTTACGAATGTCTGTGACGCAAAATTAGAGTGCAACTGTTGAGGAGGAAGTGTACGGAGGGGAGGGTATGCTTCTCCTCCTCCGTACCATCTCCTCCTCCCTCACTCCTCTGCTCCTGGTCGTCCCCTCCTTTCCTCCTCGTCCTCCCCTCCTCCTCCCCCTCCGCACGTGCCGTCAATTTTCCCGCTAAATCTAGCGGAGAAACTGAATTTGTTAATCGGTGATGTTACACCAAGTCATGTGACGTCATCATCCCCGCTAAATTTAGCGGGGAACTGAATTGGTGTTGAGGTCCTGTGACGTCAATTTTCCCGCTAAATTTAGCGAGGAATAGAATTGCTGTTTAGGT